AGACAAAGAAAGGGAAGAACATGACAAAATAACACTTCTGGTATCTGCTTAGGTAATAAAAATTTTTATTCTTCCCACTTTCAGAGAAACGTTTTCAAATTGTGACTGCATGCCAGAGAGTGAGAGGTTTCCTAAATGTTCAGCCTGGGTTTGCTTGTGTTGCCTTACTTTCATTGAAAAGGATTCATTTGAAAAGTTCAGGAAGTAATTTCAAGTTTTAGACTTTTAATTTAAATAACACAAAGTGAATGGATGAAAAGTTTTTTACAACTTTCCATAATAAAAGGTTTTCAGGGTCTGTGACCAGTTCTCAGTTTCAAATTCCCACCATCATTCAGAAACTACATCATAATCATTTTATATTCATTGTGTCATTATCCAAAAGTTTAAATCTTCTCAAACTGATTACGCTTGTTTAAAAATGTAAGCTGAAAACATTATTAGTCAGAAAAAACAAACATGAAGAAAACTGGTTAACCAGAAATGTACATCACTGCTGTATTCTGTCCTCAACATTACACACAATAAACTTATTAAATTAAACAAGAAAACATTCAATCTTGTTAAGAAATATGAATAAATAACCTAACACTGGACCAACACAGAGGAGTGGTACATGGTCTTATATTATAACAGTTTTTGATCTAAAAAGTGATTTGCATTTCCATTCACTCCCAATAAGTCAGTCCTTTTATGGGAGGTCAGTCAGGATTTAACCTTTTGGCCAATAATAGCTGCAGGTCTTCAGACATTTCTATCAGGCTGACTCAAGAGTTTCACATTCTTTAATTCCTTTTTCAAATTACAATAAATTGGCTTTTTCCCTGGACTTTGACTAACCAATTAAGAAATCCTGATATTCCTGATATTCCTTTGTTGCTTTGGATACATTTGTAGGGTTGTTGTCTTGCTGGAAGGTTAACCTCTGCTCCAGTCTCAGGTCTAACAGGTTTTATTCCAGGTTTGCACTGTATTTAGCCATATCACTGCATTCTAAGTTGAACTACCATAACTGTTTAAAAGTTAGTTAATAGAAAAGTTGAAGGAAACAAGACAAAGCATGAGAAAGAAATGTGGCTATCCTGCTCCCCCACAACAGTGAAAAGCAGCTTTAGGTTATTCAAGTCATTTTCAGAATTAAGAGGTGGCTCTAATCCAGGAAGTCTTTAGATTTATTGCTTTAGGGGGAAAGTGCATCAACATTACTGCACATACACACATATATACATGGTCAGAATGAGTCCCCTGGTGCTGGCAGCAGATGCAGGGCTGCCCAGATGAACTGTTATTGATGGAGAAATGTGTCATTCTGCCACCCACTGTCTCTGACACTGTGTTGATGAAGTATGCTTCTGCACAGGCATAGAGCAGCGAGAGTTTCATAAGCCTGAAAGGAACTCAGACACTGTGAAATAAAAGACTATAGTTAATTAAAAGCTGAAATAAGGCAGCAGCTTTCACGATATAAACAGATAATAAAATCAAATCATATTACACAAGTCTCATTCATGCAGTACTGCATTTTTTTCCCCATATTTTTGGGTCATAGGAATTTCAGATCTAACTAATTTTAACAAAAGATAAAGTTAACCGTGGTAAATACAAAATGTAGATTTCAAATGAAGATTTTACATAATAAATCATCCGTGTTTAACTATGTTTTATTGTAAAGTTGGGACCGGTTCCAGACTTGTACAATGAACGGAGTAGAACATGAAGTAGGCTAATGGAAAGAAAAGCACCAATTTAAAGAACATCAAGAACAGATGAGAAGCAAATCAACTGACATCTGCTGTGGACCTTCAATGAATCAGAGAAAGAGCCATTATGTTTAAATACAGAATCTTCCCAGAAGTGGCTGGCCTCCAAATTACTCCAATAACTTATCAGTGGCTCATCCAAAAGGCCAAAAAATAACCCAGAATAACATCACTGCTTTTTTTTTTTTTTTTTTTTTTTTAAACAAAAAATTTTTTCCAAAGGGAAATAATCTGCCAGTGGAATTTATCCTTTTCCATAAAGATTAAAAAATTATTTATTTAAAGTAAGCTCATGTAAAAACTACTTGTAAGTTGATTTTCTCTTATTCCAAGTGGGAAAAAAAGCAACAACTAGAAATTAGACCAACACTACTTGGTAATATTTTATGTTTTCAGTGTGCAGGTCACACCATAAGGTCAGAGTTCATGATTGGACAATAACAAAAGATGGTATTTGGCAGAAATGAAGAAATGACCTCTATAGGACATGGACCCATCCCAAATGACCAAAGTCCTGCTTGTTGGTAAAACATATTGAATGAGAAAGTCCAGCAGTCAGTTTGTGTCCTTAAACTTAAACACACTTTGGTTGTGCATCAAGACAAAGATCAAAAACATATCAGCATCCCGTCCTCTTAAGGTGGATAAGGGGCTAAAAATCTAATTTAGATGTCGTAGTATGACCTTAAACAGACTGTTCATGTGAGACAACCCTCCAACATGGCTGGAGGGTTGTCTAACTAAAGCAATACTGCATAGAAACGTGAGACAACATTCCACCATCATAAACATTTTTGGGGACATTTGTCTTAACAAAGAGCGGCACAAACAGCTGTTAGGTCTAGGGGGCAATTACTTTTCCCATGCTGATTCAGATAGCCCTTATCGCTAAATAAATAGTTTGAAAACTGCTTTTTGAATTTAGACAGCTTATCATTGGTATTAAAATCTGTTTGGTTTGATTAAGAGGAAATCTGAAGCATTTTGTGGCCCTATATATGATCATAGTTGTTCATAAGTTTATGTGTTGAGCAAATTTTATCATGAGTTTTAAACACTGATATAAAGTTGTACCTTTTCTTCCGTTTAATATCTTCCTTTATCGTATGCTGATTAATGAATGCCAAAGTACCTCTCTTCCCTGTGGTTTGAAGTGTGCTATTATGTAACAGAAAGCCTATCAGAACATGTCATTGCTTTTACAGCTTCATATTTCTCCCTTTATTCTCCCCTGAATGCAGTTTCGTGGAGCACATTTGAACAAAAGGCGAAGTGGTGGTGTTTAAGTGCTGTAATTTACAGTCCACCATGGATGGTGAGGCAGACTGCCATCTACTGGCTTTTAAAGCTTCCCCACACGACCACCCCCCCTCCATCCACACCTCCTCACCACAGCCAGCATCACCCCTCCTCTTCTCAACTCCCACTCAAGAACTCAATTAATATGAAGACAGAGTTCACAAAAAGCCACCAGATAAATGCATGGGGGATGCAAACAAAGCTTCTACTGGCTGTCAGACCAGGTGACAGCCTGTAAATCAGCTCAGCATCACATAATCAACATCAATCCACTCATTTCTTCCATGTCTGCATTTAAAAGCAGCAGCTGCTGATGCTGAGATGAACCAGTCCTGCAGTTTGTCACCAGAGACCACTAGAATTTTCTAGAAGAATGATTTAACCCTTAAATACGTTTCATCAATAAGAACAAAAAGAAACTGAAGATAATATTCTAATAAAATCAAAAATGAAACTCAAGACTAAAGCTATTAATATTTTGATAAATGAGAATGTCCTAAGTTCAATCATAATTGATAACAAAATTATGGTTATCGTAAGAAACTTTTAAGATTTCAATCGTTTCTGTTCATGAGTCATTTCCCCCCAAAACACACTTGTTGAGGAGGGAAAAGTTGAAAAACATCCACAAATATACCTGATGTTTTACATAAATTATTAAATATGACAGAGAAATGCATGTTAACACCATATTCTCTTATGTAATCTCCTCCCACTACTATAAACACCCAACAGTACCTAATAATATATATTTCTAACTCGTAAAGCCTGGACAAGGAGCTGTTTTTCCCATCAGGGAAGGCAATGCTGTCAAGTTCTTGTAACCAACAAAAAGCAATCATCTGAGCACAAAACACACGACTCTCGCTGTGATCTGTCGGACGCAGTGAGCATCTTCAAGCAGGAAGGTTTTATATGGTAATGGGATCGATTGGACCAGTGCGTGCACCAATGAGAAGCGTTTGATTTATGTTTAAGGGACTGTTGAGAGCAGCAGTCGCTTGGCAACCACCTAATGAATGTACGAAATATAGCGACCTATTTGCTGCAGCAGTTTAAAATAAATCTGTCAGGAGAACAGAGCCGATTCTTACAGAAACTCTGAGGAGAAAATGTCTCAAAGTGAAGTCACAGCGTAGATTGTGACTGGAAACCTTCGTTTGGACCAAAAGTAGGGATTCAAATCAGACTAGAAGCCGTTCTGGCAATTAAGCAATGCATAGGAAATCCTTCAGTGCATCGGCTTTTAATTAATCGCTTCATATCAGCCCTCATTAGCCGTGTTAGAGCGTGTCACAGGCACCGAGAATGTCTGTCTCTATCTGTGCATGTGGGCTGTTCTCCAACCCTGGGTGAACAACGCTCCTCCTGAGCTGAGAAAAGACATGAGGGAGAAAAAAATCTGCCTCAGTCACTCTTTACCTCAGATTTCTGTCCTGAAACATGACAGAAGACATTGTTAAAGTTGGGAGATGGTGTAAAAAATGTAAGATGCACAGTTTTCAATTATGCAAAATGAAAAAATTAATAGAGAATCAAATGTACCTAGAAAATATTGATTAGCCCTTGAAAAAGTCTGCTAAGGCGTTTTAAATAAACCTGAATAACATAACTTTTATTATTGATATTTTTTATTGTGTAGCCTCTTCTAATGAATGTGAAAGACTGAAAATGGTATTGATGTGACGGTTGCTCTGGAAACCAACTTTTCCCTGGCTACTCAGCGCTGTTCATCCTCAACTACCCAGCTCACAGTCTCAGCGTGTTTGCAGACAGAATATAGATAAGAAAGCTTTGAAAATATTTTATTAAAATAGCTGAAATTATTTATAATATTTAAACTATGATGTTCTGAAGAATGACTACAATTGTTTTGTGGGTGTCATTCTCCCACTAGATTTTAGTAAAAAAAACAATAAGACTAAAGATATTTTTGCTTACAACAGTTGGTCACAGCAAAACTGTTGGCAACCTCCAGATTGTCAATATGGGGTGTCAGTCTGAATTCCGAGGTTCCAAATTGAACCATTCCTATCCGAAACGCGCTGTACTCTTGATCTGCGCCCCTTGGAAAAAGTCCCCCTGAAATTATGACAAAAAGCCTGTTACACTTCCACAAAAACAACATCACAGATTTAGCGACCAGAATTCATAATTGTATTTTATGCCAAATTATTTAACCCAATTTTCTTTTGTCCGAATGAGTTAGCTACTCACCAATTTGAACACTGGGCGAGCCCCCAAACGCGCAGACCCATAAAACCAGAAGAATAGAAAAAAATAAATTCACTATATTTCCCATGTCTACAGTTCAGGTGTCCACATCCACCAGATGAGTCTGGTCTTCCCTTGTTTCTCTTTGGAGGCGTTAGATCCAACACATATTAAGAACCTTTAGCATCGGAGAGAAAAAAAGAGGAAATCTTCTTGAAATGTGCGTTTTGTAGCAGGTAAATGACACCAGTAGAGGAATGGTCGCCGGCGGTGAGGTTCTGCTGTCTCTTTTTCCGCTCCTCCTCGTCACTCCCCTTCCACCGGCAGCTGCGCCTCTTCTGAACGCACGGAGCCGGTGCGCGTCTCCGCTCCGCGCGCCGGAGATCTTCTCGGTATCACACCCACAACTGAGGAATGTTAATGAGAAGGCGGACAGACACGAAAAGATCCGAAAGTCAGCCACATGGAGACCAAACCACACGCCAACCTTTGAGTAAATGGGAACGGAAGCTCCTGCTCAAGCAATTCAGTTTTTTGTTTTCGCCTCTGGGTTTCAGTGCACATGATTACACAGGAGATTGGTGAACATTGTTCAGTCATGACACCGTAGCGTCATTAAGAGAAGTTAAATCATATTTACTTGTCTTCCTCAGACAACTGGACCCTTAAATGTCAGATAAAACACTCTTAAAAATATGAAGAAATTTTTCATTTTCAAGTCAACTGAGTGTTTTTAGAAAGTCATTAACACAATTTCCTGTTCAGAGACGATATCCTGAGGGGATTTACTTGCAGTTATTTGCAACATGCAGAGGTGTGAAAACAAAATCACAACTTATCTGTGTTTTGATGTTCAGCCAATAAGTGATTTCTAAACTGACAGAAGTATTTCAAAATCTATTCTCTGGGCTACTGGGAGCAAGAATGAAATGATAGAAGTCCGAATTTGTAATTGCTTTTATGTGTCTGAAAGTGCAGGTCCGGGTCCATCATTACACCCACATTTCAGGCCTGATTACCAGTTTCTAGCTGTAATAACTGAAATGGTTTGCTAACTTTTGTCCTCCTTTGGTCCAAAAATAATAGATTCAGTTTTTCTTTTTTATTCTAACTAAAAACAGTTATGGCACATCCATGCAAATTAAGCAAACCATGCTTGCTTAATTTGCAAGCATGACCCCACTTATCCCTACTGAGGTTGTGAGGGGTCAACAGGTGAGGTACACCCTGGACAGGTCATCAGTGCATCGCAGGGCAACACAGAGACACAAACAACCATGCATGCACACACTCACACCTAAGGAGAATTTATAGAGACCAATCAACCTGACAGCCATGTTTTTGGACTGTGGGAGGAAGCCGCATGCACAGGGAGAACATGCAAACTCCAGAAAGACCCCAGGCTGAGATTCAAACCCAGGACCTTCTTGCTGTGCCATTCTGCAGCCCAGTAATTTGTTATTTGCTGTAATCTTATCTCGTAGAAGCATGTCAATATTAAATAAGGAGAATCCCAGGAAGGAACTTTAGGCAACTCTGCATGTGACTTTTTTTTGTTGTTGTCAATGCCAAAAGTTACCCACTGACACAAACAAGTCCTTGCATGTTTGTGGTTAAAGGACCCAAGTGTTGAAACTGGCCGGAGGAAAACTGAGAATTTTAATGATGAATAAAATGGAGACTTACAAAACCACAGGAGGCAAACGGGACATAAAGCATTAGTAGGGACATAAGAAAACCATGAAAGGGAACAGAAATATTCAGCCAGGAATGTCATAGAATGAAATGTTTACTGTACAGCTTGATTACTGTCAAGACACAAGTGGCTGAATGGAATTTGGATGCAGCTGTGAGAGAAGCCAACAAGCATACTGAGGGAACATGAACAGTAAGCACGAGAGAAGCCGAAAAGGACAAACTATAAACTGAGAGAAGACTAATCTGAAAACTAAATTCAAATGCAGAACACAATACAGAAAAAAATGTAGAAACTCATTAAAAAAGGAACAAACATATACAGCATGACCCTTACAGCAATAATAATAAACTAAATATGGCAAGACTTTTGAGCAGTGATGAATTCAGAAAATAAGAGGAATATGGCAACACCTAAGAAAGTAAACAAGAAACTGGCAAAATGCAAACAGAAAAATGCCAAAATCCAAACACCCCAGTATCATGACAGACCTGCTCTGGACTCAAACCAGTTGACTACAGTACCAGAAAGTTTAACCCAGTTTTTCAGTCGCTCCAGTAATAATCTGTCAACAGTGTTGAATGCTGCTCTGAACCCAAAGAGAACAGCATTGTGGTTCTTCCAGTCTGCATTCTGCTGACGACTCTGAACACCGATAGCTTTCAGTCCAGTTATGTGCTAAACACAGTACTGAGACTGCTCTTGTCAAATTGGCTGTTCAGTGTTAACCTGCCCTGGCCTTATTATGGAATTAAATGCCCTGTTAACTGGTTGAGCCACAGGCAACAACTGCCATCAAGTATTTACTGTGGAGAAATTTTGACCCACTGTTTTTTGCAGAATCATCTTAATTCAGACACGTTGGAGAGTTTTCAAATGAGAACCAACAGAAAAGCTAGAGCATCTCAAACAGATTTTAATCTAACTTTTGACTTTGTCACCTCAAAACCTTAATTGTTTTAGACAGTGAAAAGTAGACTTGCTGCTGTCCTTCTCCATAAGCCAAGTTCACATGAGCTTAAGATCACAAACCGATGGCCAGACGTCCTTTTAATGCTCAGTTTATGCTGTCAGTTACAGAAGGTCATATTAAAGTGATTTCTTCATGCTACTGGTCTGACAGTAACCAGGCCTAAGCAGGGCTAGTGAAGCTGAATTCATCCTTCCAAAAATAGTTTTAACAAGTGCAGCAAATCCTTCTTCTCGTGGAAGCAGTTTGGTTTGGACAGCTTTTTTCTGTCAAAGTTAAAACAATATTTCAAAACTGCTTTTTGTATCTAGTCTGACATTACTTCAGTTTTGAAAATCCAGACTTCTCTAATACAAGGTGTGCATTTCAAGAAAACTTTGTCTCACATTGTGACAGTTTACAAGGTTATTTATTTTTTAATGAGGTGCCAGCCAAGGATCCCTCCTGACACCTAGGATTTGCAAAGTTATTTTACCTTTGTATTTTTTGTAACTGATCACACAAGGACCATACACTTCAAAAGGTGTTGACCCTCCAGTACAATTAATGGCAAAAAAACATTTTCTTTACAAACAAAAACAAAAACTAAAATTCATCATAATTGTATATTTTTTCTTAGTTTTGTATTTTTAAATGTCCATAAGCAAAATTAACTACAAAAATTGTCCATAATTATTTTCCAAAGTTCACATGCAAGCAAAGGTTCCCTAAGATTTTTTTTTTTTTTTTTTTTGCCCTACAGCAACATGAATAAACAGAACAAAATATACATATGTAAATGCTCAATTACAAATACCACACACAAACAAAAAATTAAAAGACTTCCAGGTCACTATTAGTCTCTCAAAAACCAGAACCAGAAATCCGTTATTTTCATCTGCACTGGACAAATACAACCGTTTAATTTCATTATGGAGCAAAAATTATATTGAATTTATGACTTACGAGTAACTTTTAACTCGGTGACGTCACACGCTTTCAAGACTTGCGGCTTGCCACGTCGGATAGTCTGGCACAAATAAGTAGAGGGTTTTTTTTCTTTTTTTTTTTTTTTTTTTTACTTTTGTTATGTTCTTATCGGTCCAAGGCGATTTTAGGTTCTCAGCATGACAGTGATGCGATTAGGAACAGGCCAGGGATTGAACAGCCTTGGTTTTTATTGTAATAGCTCCTGTTAGGGGCGGCAGCACTGGCGGCGGTGTTTGCCAACACCCGGTTTGGGTTTGGAGGGAAAGTTCTTCTTCTTTTCTATTATGGGAGACCAACTTTCATGTGCATACCGCCACCTACTGCTACACGAGTGTGTAGCAACACTACCTCCATCCATCCATCCATCCATTTTCTATACACCCTTGTCCCTATTGGGGTCGGGAGGTTCCGGGCAGAGGCGGGGGAACCCTGGAAAGGTCGCCAATGTTATAAACCGGAAAAGACCAGCGGACCAATCAGGTGAGCTCAGGGGACAACTGGGCGTGGTCAGGGGCGTGTCTGAAACTGTGACAGACGGGAGGGGCGGAGGGAGAGAGGAAAATAATGCGACCAACTCAGTGCAACAAGCGGGTTTTCACAACGTGTCCTACAGGGATAGCTATCAAATGAATCACCTCTTTAACTTTAATCTATCTCCACCTTTTGCATACAAATCCTTTTCAAATTTATATGTCTGCCCCAAAGTGCAGACATAGTTCTTCTATGTGAGGTAAAGTGTGCCTGACAGCCATCAGAAAACGAGTGGCAATTTTCACCTGTGGTTTTATATAATGTAACCCTCAGTGTGAACCGACAGATTCACATTAATCATTGTCTGTATTCGATCTGGAAACAAACTAAAGCATCTGGTGGACATTAACAGCCAAACAGGAACATTTTGTCAGATTTCAGCACCTTGGACAGCACATTACATAGAAAAGTGAGGCTCCTGTTGAGTGGATGACAGAAAGCCTGAGGAAAGGAAGAGCTTAGTGTTCTGTTATGGCCAGTTTCCATGAATATTCATTCAAAACATTTAATAAAAATCATTTTTAGAATATGAAAAAAAATATATATATTTCACTGCAAAATACTAAATAAAGTTTCATATTCTTTATTTTTCACGTTCTGTTGCATTGCAGCCCCAAACTTTAATGTGTTTTATTGGAATTTTATTAGATAGACCAACATAATGTAGCCTAGACGCAGTATAAAGGAACATTGATTGTTTTTGTTTTTGGCTATGTTTATGCTGGTGCACCTAAACAAAGCCTAGTGCAATCAACTGTAAAAGTAATTCATTAAAAAGATCATTTATTGTGTGATTCGGTGTCGGTGTAAATGCAGTTGTAAAGATATCAAATGTTTGTTAGAAAACATTAAGGAAAATAAAAACAAAGACCAAGAAATAAAGGAGACAGGTCAGGGATTAAGCTGTCGAAAAACAAGAATAAAACAATATCCAAACCTTTGAGTATTTGGTAAAACAGTGTTTAGTCAGTTTTCAGAAAATGTAAACACTATGACAACTGCAACCTACAAAGGTGGTCAAAGTTGATGGAATTATGGATGAAAAATATGAGACAAACATGAATAAGTTGTTAGAGGATGTAAAAGTCTCCAGCAGAACAAAGACACATTGCTGGGTGATGCCTGTAACCACAGTAAAAAAAAAAAAATAATAATACATACACAACACATGCACTACCACAGTGTACATACACCAATGCTTTTTGGAGATACTGTTTATTGAAAACATGAGTGATTTGCCATTTTCTAAC